AATTGTGATGAAGACTCTTTTTCTTTTTTTGGCTCTACAACTGTCCCTCTCTCCCTGTGTCTCTCTTGTTCACCGCTTCAGGCATTTCTCGTCAGTGTTGGCAGTCACGTATATTAACTGCTGCATGCAAGTCTACAGATACCAGTCGTGATTGGCTAAGCTGCTCCTGATCTGAGGCTGCCTGGAGTAGTGTCGAACCCAATGATCCACCTCCAGCATCTTCGGTAACTTTGGCTGCCGAGACGGTGCGAGCAGGGTTTAGTAGAAAGGTGGGTGGGAGGGAGGCGTGTGGCGGCAAAAACACCATTCCCCAGCCTCATGGAAAAAGGAATAGCCGCCTGAATCACTGAGAGAGAGAGAGAGAGAGAGAGCTCTCTTCGAAGGGGGGGAGGGGGGGGCGTGAAAGAGAAGAAAAAAAAAACAAGAGGAGAAGAGACACTCGACGCGGGCTGATAGGAGGGCTTCGGGTGAACACGAATCCACGGCTCTCGGCGTTTGTGGGTGTGCGGTCGGTTTGTGTCTGGAACTTACAGGAACTCTGCAGAATCAAGGCCATCAATGTTTCTGGGAAATGCTAACGGGGTCCCTCTTGGAATGGACGATGAGGGATCTGGACTCCCGCTTTACAAACGCTACGCACTAATCTTGACCGTCCGAGTCCGAACAAGCACTTTCACGGAGGATGGCAGACCAAACAACCAAAAAAAAAAAAGAGGCTTTGAGCTAAGCGTAGATCCTGGATCCCTTGCTAGCTTCTTTCTCGAGCAGCCAGGGTTGTAGTCTAATGGATGTCAAAAAGGCCTTGTTCTTTCTCTGGCCCTGTCTAAGATCTGCCCAACTAGGTAATGCCATTCTCAAGGGAACACATAAACACAAAAAAAGAGGAGCCAGGGGGTGTGTCGGGCCCAGGGAGGCAATACAGGGGAGGGGGGGCGTGTAAAGAAGCAGGCGAATGAGAGCAGTGGCAATGTGTTGGCAAAAAAAATGAACAGCTGTGCTAATCAAGGTACACATGCATTTTGGGCGAAGAGTGTCTTGGCTTCCTTGGGGAGTGTTGAGTGAGCATGAGGGCGGCCGGTGATTCCCTTGTGCCAGAACTCTTTTTTGAAGATGGTTTAGATGAGAGGAGGGGGAGAGAATGGAGACACCAGCCCCAACACGCGTTTTCTGTTTTCAAACTCTCTCTCACTTTTCTCTTTCTTGTGGGGGAGAGACCGTTGAGTGTTGAAGTTGGGTATGTGAACGTTGGACTTTGGCCATGTCCAATGTTATCCCCATCTGATATGAAACGAGAGCTTGGGACGTGGTAAGCATAACATGTTGGTGATGCATCTCGACCGGCTTTGTGCCAAGCTTCACCCACCCATGTCTCCACGCATCGTAATCGCTCTCGCCATTAACCGAAAGTGAGAAAGAAAAAGAGATGACACCAACCCTTCGTCTTGCAGCCGGTAAGGCTACGATGACGCTTGTTTCTGCTTTGCCAGCGCTGAAACTCAAATAGCCAGGCCAATACAGGGAGGGAAATGAGGATATTGGCTGAGATACATCCACGTAAATACTCTAGACTTGCCTTAGCACGAGCATTGGACGACCAGGGGGGGCCAGAAAAATAAAACGGCGCGTGGAAAAAGAGGATCACCAGTGCAGTAATCTTGCAGAAGCAGCCCTTTTCTGGTCTCAGTCTGCCAGTGTCGATTAATAAAAGAAATGTGCAACGGTCGGGCTGTCTTATGGGCAAAACATGAAGCAGATCCCCTCCCCCCCAAAGACAAACGAGGGCTGGGGACTTCGATATCTCGCTGTTCAAGCGCACGCTATTATGCACGTCTCAAACAGTCTCAAACACAGACACAGACATGGTTTCTTCATGTCTAGAATGCTGTGCGCGTGCTAATGCATCCGTCCATGTACATGCATACGAGCACACGTCTGTATGAAATTGACGGGATGTGGCGGGAGGGATGAGTGTCTGACCATGGCAAACCTCGTCCCAAGTGTCATTGCCGCGCGCTCATCTCGTTGATCGGTATCATGGGCGGGAGGACAAGGCAGCGGGATGCTCCTCAGCCAGACTGTCGGGACGGACTGTGCGTTTTGCTGGGTTTGTTGCATGGAATACTTGCCTGTACAGGGCATTTGGCATGTTGGTCCGCAGCCGTCAGGGGAGGGGGCGCCTTGACATGGACGCAGTTCCTTAATCTCCTTTTTTTTTTCTTGGCCAGCCGCGGCCGATGACCACTTGGCTGCGGCACTCTGTCACATCTTACCATCGTCACCCATCCCGCGTCCGTCACCGTCAACGCTGATGGTGTTGCCCAGCCAAGGTTTGCTTGACCGGTCAGTTCGGAAGCGGCTTGAGGCGCCCGAGAGGTATGACCTGGCCGTCTTAGCGACGTTAGCTCTCCGATGGGAAAGCCGGGACACGTTCCGTGCCGCCAAGGGGATGGACTTTTGGTTCAACGCTTGGCCCAACTTGTGTGCATGGACACGCAAAGCTGGTGACTGAGCCCGTGGGCACGGGCTTGTCTGCCGGCGGCCCGCGTGACGCACATCGGAGGCGTCCGTACCCAAGCCGTGAACTGGGACCGTACATGGCAACAAGTTCGCTCAGTGGTAAGTACAGAGTATGAGTACACAACTGCAGTAAGTTGTAGTTGTCCATCTGCGCCGTCATTCGCCATCCTCTGGTATATTCGTCTTATGTGGCTACCGGATAGAGTCCGACCACTGTCACAGCACATAGGGGGTGATCCGAGGTACGCAGCGATAGGCCCAACCCAAGGCCGTGATAACTGACCGCAAGGCTTTGGCGGTGAGAGAGCGAAGTGAGGCTGACATGCTGTTTCAGTTGCCAGTTGGCGGTCCATGATGAAATCCCACCTGATATTGCAGTGCATCGCTCGGGACTGCCACGACACCTAGATCCCGCTTCAGCTGGCGCAACAGCCTATCAAAGTCACCGTCCAAGTAGGTATTAGCTGGTTAGCCCGACCTCCTGCATCATGTGCCCGTTTGCTGTGCATCCACGGCCGATCTCGGTATGAGACGAGGGCAGCTGTGCGGCTTGTGGCGCGGTTGAGGTTCAAAGTGCGGCATGCGAGTGTCTGGAGAGAGATGGAAGACGAATGGAGGTTTGGTCTAATGGAGGCGCCAGGACAGGGACAGGGCCAGGGCCAGGGCCAGGGGCCGCTGTGGCGCACGGTGGATAGCGATCTAGCCGCTATGGAGCACGCTATGGAGCAAGCCACAGCTGCGGTACAGGGGACAAGGTGCATGGAGGTGCGCTGACCGAGGCTGCGGGCGAGGACACTTGCATGAGACGGACGAGGTACATGCAGCAAGGCGGTTGATTGTATGATGCAGGTAGGTAGATTTGTCCAAGGTGTTTTGATGCAGGCCGACGGGCGATTGACTCGGTGGCGGTACCCGATACTTGCCGGGTGAGTCAGGTGCTACTGGGTACCTCGGGCACAGAAGCAAGGTTATAGTGACGTCGCTGATACCACGGGTATGCTTGTCAGAGGCACAGCACAGCATGGCAAAGCATGGCAAAGCATGCCATATATCGGAGCATTATCGTACTGTTACAGCACAGCACCCGTACCAACCCGCGCAAGGCCCAGCCAACGCATTGTGCTTGGTCAGCTGCTGACCGCATCCATATAGTAGGTGCCTGTATCAGCTATATTGCATTAGATGGAAGCCAGTTTAATCGTTTCAATTGTCTTCTTTTCTCACTGGAGTCGCATCTGTCGTCGCATCTGCTGGGCTGGGCTGCGGACCAATCCCGTGCCTGTATTGCTCTGTACCGTCCTGTAAAAGAGGCTTAGTCGTACCTAAGTCTCTACTAGTACTTAGTACCTGGTACTAAGGTAAAGGTGGTACCTTGCTAGTCGTGCGGAGTACCAGCTCCGTCACCAACAGGAGGGGCGATACTTTCCGGGCCCGTCCAGCTACTTGGCACGACGCCAGAGCTCCACCGCTCCTGCTGCAGCTAGAAGCCCATGAGATGAGATGCATTGATTTGATGGCAAGTGCGCCCTAGCCGTAGCGCTTTCCGACCCCACATGCCTTGGTGAGTGATGATGCGTCCATGCTCCGATGCCAAGATGGTACTCGCGACTTGTGAACTTGCTCCTTTTGCCTTACTCCGCCAAAATCTATCTGCCTTTTCGCGGCCGCTCTTTCTTTCTTTGCTGTTCCTCAAAGTGAGTATACCTACTAAGGTACCTAGGAAGTTAGTACTAAGGTTAGAGGTAGGTAGTACTACCTACTAAGGTAGGCACTGTAATTTGGCAACTTCCGGTTCTAGATGCCAAGCATAGCAAGTATCTTCCCCGCGTCTTCTTGCCCTGCGGATACCTGTCTGCCAAGCCACCACAGCCACCCCAACCCCAACTCGAGTCCCGTGCTCGGCTCAATCAAACCTCCATCCAGCATCCGCCTTGATCCTCTTCCTTGCGCCAATATTCTCGCTTCCAACTGCTAGTCTCACCCCGTTCAATACCACTCAATACTGCGGAGTACCGGGCATCAGCTTTTCATCGTATCTGCGTCTCGGAATCTGCCTCTCTACCGCTGTACCTTGTGGATATCCATCGTGAACAAGATACTTGCAACTACAACTCACTCCGTCCATCGACTCTCCAGCTGCTCTCCGAAATATGCAGCATGGAGTATTTGCCAACATATCAGCAAGCCATCACTAGGCCCGACTGGCTGCAGTTAGCCGCCCCATACATATCATTCACGGATTATCCATCTCTTTGTCGAGTCAGCCACCGTTTCTGGTCCTTCTTCGCGCCTCGGCTCTGGACAGACCCTTGCGCGGCGTCTAAGCATTTGGGATGGAGCAGGGACGGTGGTGAGTCTCCCCTAACGGCATCAGCATCTGGGCGGCTCTCATCCGTATTTCGGCAGATACCAGACAATGGTGGGCCAAGTTCATGTACCAGAAGCTACGCCAGCTGACGCCCAGAACACGGCTCTTGATTCGCATGCTGGATGTAAGAGGCGCCGCTGGGCCGCGCGAGTTCGCCCTGTACCCAGAGCTTACTAGAGACGACTTTGCGCTAGCTCTCGAACTGCTTCCAAACGTCACGACCCTCATCTTAGATGACCAACAAGACCTGGACGTCCGCTTCCTTGGCCGGAAGTCCCAGGAGTCCTTGCCGTTGGGCCGTGCATTACGGGTGCTGAGTCTTAACAATGTTATCCATGGAGTCCTCGCAATTCTCAAAACGCCTGAAATCCTGCCAGAGTTGGTGTACTTGGAGGTGTCTGGCGTTGCATGGCCCCGTTCGGATGAGAAATTTCTGCTATGCCTTCCCCGCCTACGCATTCTCAAGGTTCGCCGTTGTGGAATCCGTAGCGATAGGCCATTTGATTTCAACGTTTTCGACCGTCGCTTGTGGAGTCTTGACCTGAGTGGAAACGAACTATCCGACCAATCTGTGGATCCCTTATTTACCCTTCTCGGCGTTGAGCGTAAACTGCAGGCACCGCCCACATCAAGCGAGGCCGAGGCCGTGTTTTGGGAGGCAGAAACCGAGCATATACCCTTCTACTATCTTGCGGAAACACATGGCAGCAGCGACGTTTTTCTTCCTGGTGCCAGATATGTGGTCGATCCTCCCGCATTTACAAGGCATGACCAAGATGACGTGTATGGCTCCCGCTCCGACGGCTCTGTACCAATACGCCCAGACACGCTCGACGGTGTTTTACGTCTCCTGTCTCGGATTGATGACTTGGCCGCCGTGGAACACTTGCCTGGCTCCATCGGCCTCACGCATCTGCACCTGTCGGGCAACCAATTTTCGGCGGCGGGAATTGAACGGCTGCTGCGCCACTCCAATGGGCAGATAGAACATTTTGATTGCGACTCAATGAGCTTATATCCACCTAGCGGCCATTATCGTATCGATGAAATATTGCATGGTAAAGATTCACAACCCACTTATACTGGTAAGCTTCTCATCTCTGAGTCGGTCAAAATGTACGGATTTTCGGGTCTGTCACAGACAATTCGCGCTCCCTGGTGCTCCAATCTTCGATCACTCAGGATACACCACTCGCTTGTCACAAACATACCTACGGTCAGGATTCCTAATTTGGATAATATTGAACAAATCTACTTTGCTGAAAAGCACATCCTTCCCGGCCTTGACTGGGCATACTCGATAGCCTTTCTCCCGGACATGAATCCCCGGCTGCAATCTTTGACGTTGACTCACCTTCCCCGCCAATCCTTTGGCCCTCTCGTACACAAACTGACCTTCTTCCTTCGGCTCTTGGGCTTGCAGGAGCAGATGTTATCCATCATGAACAAGGCGGAAGCATCAAGGCCAGAACCAAGGCTAGAATGGCCTTTGCGGTATGTGAGCGGCCTTAGGTATCTGGCGCTGGAAATGGAGTCAATGGGAAAGGAATCAGTGCAAATGAGCTCGCCTCTCGAATTGGATGCCGAGGAGCTCATGGCTAGTGGTGAGACGCCGTTCAGCTTCTTTAGTGAATCGGCGGAGCAGCCGCTGCCGCCAAAGGAGCCGCCCTCGCGCCGCATCGACATCTGGACCTATATTCTCCCCAAGGCTCCCTTCAGGAATAACAAAGTACATCAAGTTGAAGAAATTGGGCATGAGGTAGCGGCTGGATATGGCCCGACAAAGTGGTCCCATGGCTGGCCGCCGAGAGACCTCGGTAAGGAAAAATGGGTTCGATATAGAGAATCCACGACAAGCCCTATCGTAGCAGTTTGGGCCGGCAATACCTGGTCACCAAGCCCTGTTGTCCAAAAGTACCGCTGCTTGGTACTCGAGTATGGAGTGTACGAGGGGCTTGGGCCCGTTACTTTGAATCACATGAGGGCTGGCGCTCCGCCAGATGTCTTCATCTTCCAACAAACCTGGCTCTATGCCGCGTTACCTCAATGGCTGGAGCGGCCGCCGACTATCCCAACACCCGTATATGAAGATGTAGCCGCTGAGTTACGGCGACGCCATGTCCCGACATATGAGGACTTTGAGCGAATACGAAAACAGTCACCTCACCGTCCATGCTTTTATTGGGGCGGCACATTTAAGATTATTGACACAAGACCCGGCGAGTAGACGCGGAGCGGCATGATACAGCTTGTAACGAGGCGTGATGTGGGCGAGCAGTAGATGCATTGAGGGCCACCACTGCGAGGGCGTTTCTGTAACGATGTGTAGAGATTTTACGTATCCATCAATAATTCTATGCAGTCAATCAACATCAACGTCTTGTCATCGTTACAGTATCGAGGCGCGTATGCAGCAAAGGCCGAGACATGCATCTTTATGACGGGGTTGTTGTCTGCACGTCGGGTACAAAGCCCTCTCACACTCATATCTGCATTATCATACACCGCCACTCACAAAGAGCCCAACATCCAACCCAACTGTCGTATAGATAAAAGGTGAAGCATCCGGAGAAAAGAAGCCGGTGTCTAGGCGATCCATCCAACTACTAGCCCAGTACTTTACCACAGAGTACGGTGAACAAACAACGGGCTTTGGAATGTACATGATTGGTTGGGGACAACAGATGTAGCTTTTGTTTTTCTTGTTTAGCTCATTGGGCGGCAAAAAAAAAAAGAAAAGCATGCACGATGGCTGGTTCTCATGCATGCTCTTGGGATCGCGCAAATGCGATTGGTGCATTTTTGTTATTTTGGGTGGCGATTGGGTGAGAGAGGGGGGGAGGTGTTGAGTGAATCTTTGCGGCTGAAACAAAACAGCGTTTTCTCCGAGGATGGGGCGGTATGGAATGGAGGTTGCGACCGATTTGAGGGGGTTTGGGAGGAGGAATAATGGCTGTTTTTTCTTCTTCTTCTTTTCTTTTTGATTCGGTGCTTTTGTCTCTTCTAATTTTGATAGGTTGCGGATGGGAATCGGATGTGGCGTTGGAACGAACAAGGGGAGATGGATGAATAGAGAGTATCATTGGTGCTGTCCTATTCTCGCTTGATCTGTTCCGTGTCTATTTGGCCGAGTGAGCATGTGATGGTTTTCAATAAAAGGGAGGGAAAAGGAAACTCCGAGTCGATAGCTCAGTTATACCCTGTAACGCGGAATTATACTATACGCTTTTCTTTTCTTTTCTTTTTCTTTTCATTGACCATTTTGTTTTCATTTTTCAGCCCGGCTCGCCTAATCAGCAGGGCATGAAATTGTGTCTTGTGCCGGTATTCGGAATCCAGCCCGAGAATGACACGTCTGATTTATGCTAGTGCTTGTGCGGCTGATGGTGTCAAATATACCGGCAGCTCTTGAGGCGGTGATTGGGGAGGGCCAAGATTGTTTTGCTGCTAGCAATGATTGTCTCTTGTTACAAATTCCTTTGGGCACTAAGCCAGGAATAATTGAATGCATGAAGCAGGGTGCTGCGGCCCAATCAGCACTGGGTGTTGTGTTTAACCCGCTTGCGGAAAACCGATAATCTCTTTTCTTTTCGGGGTAGTTCTTTTTTTTGCTTTTCGTCTATTAGAGCCATGTCTGGACGTGGAATTGCGTCCTGGGGGTTTCTATTACTTACATGAATGAGAGAATGGGCGTGGTTTAGTCTGGGAATGTAGGCGGCCAAGACAAGGCGAGCGTTGGGGTCTAGTTTAAATTACGACGATGGAATGGTTTGATTCGTTTTTTTCTTTTTAGGGTGAAAAGGAAAAGGATCGGATTAGTTCATCGAACTGAGGGGGTGGCTGTTAGATGTTGATGCGGGGAGTTCGATTCAGCTTGCTTAAAGGGGAAAGGAAATAACACGGTGAGCGTGGGTTGGATTAGCTGCAGCATAAGAGAGAGCCGGTGCTGTGCTGTTCGTTCTACGGTATGTGGGAGGGAGAGGGGCCGGACAGAATTCACTTCCGATTGATCTTGTCATGTCTGTGCGTAGGAACTATCGTGAACAAGGGAGCGGTGAGGGATTGAGGAGGTAAAGAGGGATGGATTGGGGCTAGTTGCGTGCTGGCATATGAATGTGAATATTGTAGGGTAATGTCATGTGTGAATAGCGGCTGCTCTTTATTGTGAATTTCAAAGTCTTCGTCAGAGCCTAGTCTTGACTTGCACATTAAGCATCTTCCATGGAGTGGAAGATTGAAGGATGAAAGCTGAGAGGGTGGGATAGTATTGCAGCCACGACCAAAGATGTGTTTCTAAGGGAACATGATGAATGCTAAATGGCATAAATGATCTAGCTAACAACACTAGTGACGGGAAACAGTGAATGAAGGAAGGAATCTTGATTGGCTGGGTAATTGCTGTTGCAGCATTAAATTGGGGAGACATTATACACGGCTTGTGTAATTTATGCATGGTAAAAATGAAACCAATACCAACAGAGTGCTATAGGAATATGGAATCGTATCATCCATCATAATAGTCAGCCTGACGAGCGTGGGAAATGTACATATATGCTCTGTAGGCGTCCAGAACGTATGAGTTTGGCTGCAGTTGAACGTACTGACATTGGGTGTCTCTAATATTGTTAATGGAGTAAAAGGTATAGCAAGATGTATCCATATAGTAATGCTTTCAATTGCTAGAATCGTAGTATATAATGTTATGAGCGGTATGAATACCACAGGCAACATTATCTAACGATATCTTGATCCTGGCTATGCTTTCATTGGATCGTGTTTACGCCAAGATGAAGGAAAATATTTGCAACACAGGCTCATCATTTCAATCAAACATATTATAGCCTGATAATATGGAAACATTCTTTATTTTTAAGTAGACATCAACAATCTGATTCATACATTCGACAGAGTAACAAGGTTAAAGACTTTTAAGTATGAAATCGACCGAAAGCAGCTCAGTGCTCCCTAATCGACTTGCCCTTGACTACATTGCTTAAATCACCCACCGGAATCTGAATCGGAAAGTCGACTATCGCAAGCGAAATGGCTAACAGAATGTACCATCCCGCCAGACACGTTACAAAAGCCGAGGCTCCAGCTCCCTAGAAAGCATGTTAATTTACACAGCTCCATTATATATAGAGGAATTGCTTTTCTCGACAGGCTGTACTTACCACAAGCAACTTGTTTGCATAATGAGCATTACCCACGAAATCCTCCGCCATTGCCCAATAAGCTCCGGTCAACAGTCCAAAAGCAATTACCAGCGTCAAGAAGATGATGAAGAAGGCGACATTGGTACGCAGTGAACAAATGAGAAACACGAGACTAAGAAGTCCCATGAAGAGAAACCAAAAGCCTATCACACCACGGTCAGAACAACGTGCCATGATGTGCATGTGTATATAGATGGGATGGCTTACCAAGACTGGCATTGAAGCCGGTTGTCTGAAGCCCCTCGGTACCATCTTCGCCCGCCTTTGCGTACGAAGAAAACGCAGCAAACGACGGGTTCAAAACACCTCCGTAAGACAACCAAAACGTGCCAAACGATGTGAAGACGACGGCGGGGAAGCTGTTGCCCAGGATCCATTCGAGGAGGCCGCCAACGGTCATGAGGATTCCGGCTTGGAAGAAGTATACCGGGCTAGCAGATGAAGACGATAAAGTCAGCAAACATCTTCTTGTAATGTTTAGGATAAGAGGGCGATAGGGTATAGTGAGCACGTACATTGTAGCTGCGCCGCCGCCGCTTGCTCCTCGCCAGCCCATCAGACTACATGACAATGGGGTAAGAGCCATGAGAAAGCCCACAAGAGCACTATCCAAGAAACATAAGTCAACCCCTTCTAATCACACCATCCATGACAGCAATGAAGAAAGATAGAAGGGTATCAGGCATCTTACATTGGTGTTGGGTTTCCAAACGTATCTCTCAGATGGCCCTTGACTTTACTCTGCGGCGCCAGGTACAGCTTCTCGAACAACTCGGGTGTCATGCTGATGCTCGCCGCGGAACGAAATCGATTCAACGCCTCGGCCCGCTCTGACTCAGAGTCGACGTCAATTCGATTACCCTTTTCCTCTGCCATTGCCGATGATGTGTCTGCTTTCCTCGATATAATAAAGACAAAAGGCCTATTAGAAAAAAAGAGTAAAACCGTTCCACTTGCAAAAAGAGGAAACAACCTTGGTATTAAATCATCGTCTAGTATGCCAATCCCCCTCCCCAAGATAAATGCACGAGTAAGCCCCCTATCAAAAAAAAAAACCAAACACTCTCCGATCCTCGCCTCCTTTGTCCCGGAACAAGCATCAAGACGCACAAGAAAAGCCACGTCCGCATGCACGAAAACTTACGAGACCGGAAGCAAACATCCTCGTAGCTTCGAATCCTTCCCCCCAAAACTTCCGATTACCCAGCCAAACCGGCCCCCAGACAACAGCCAGCCCAGCCCAGCCCCCAAAATAGTCGGCTCTCTCCCGGCTGCCCGATATCAACAACGCATCTTCCTTACCCCAGATCTATCTTAGTCCCAACGACTCCTCTCCCCCGTATTGACACTAACTAAGCTCCCCCCCCAGAACCATCAGGTCACCTCCCGTAACCTCCACAAAATCTAACTTATCCAGTCAATCAATCTCGCACTTGCGGACATGCATCTATTCCCGCTCCCCTCCAACACAACAAGGAATCTCTCGTCATACCCCGTCATCCCCCCCCCAATCCAGTTCAATCTTTCCCTCCCGTACTCCGTAACTTTGATTCTTTTGTTTTTTTTCTTTTACCCCAGATTTTCCGGCTTTTGCCCCATCTTTGGTTTGGAATCTCTCCACATTGTCCCCCCTTTGTAGCTTTCTCCGCAAAATCCACTTGCCCACTGTTTTCCGTTCGCCCGAGAGCTTAACTGGTGCGGCCCTTGTTCTTTAATTGGACTTGCACATGCTTGGCTTGGAGCTGGGAGTTTTACAGTAGATACTCGAAGTCTTGAGTTGTGCTATAACATGATGACTATCGCAATTGTCTTTAAAACAATCAATCACCATTCCAGAGTCCTCATTGAACCTCTCCGTCTCTCTTTAACAACGTATTCCGTCAACACAGTCTAAACACCTTTTCCATCCCTGCCTTTGCTCTACCCCACAGCGACAGGCATCCCGTCCTCCCTCAAAATCTGGATCCAAGCTAAAGCGCCGCTCGTACGATGGCCATGCAAGCCAGGAAAAACGCCCACATCCTCCGTCGTCCGTCCAATGAGTCCTCGATCCGCGGATTTTCTGCTCTATTCGCCAATAGACCAAAAGCCGACTTAAACGACTCGGCCAATCGCACTCAAGAAAAGCCACGACTAGCTCTTCTCTCGTCTTTCTAGGACTCTGCTTCTCTTATTCCCGCATGTCCGTTTCCATCGGTTGCTCTATTCGCCGCTCGTGCGTCAAGTTTCGCCCAGATTTGCATGCTTTCTTTTGTCACACACCTTGCATATGCCGTAAACCTCCTGCTGCACACCAACTCGCCAAAACGCCAAAATCTCATTCTCATCAGTCAACCCGCAGACCCAAAGATTCCACAAGAGTGAGGATTCATCCCTATACGACAACACGGCGCCGCGGTCGTCGCTTAAACCACCATCTCCCCGGGTAGTCTTGCTGTAAGCTCTGGGGATCTGCAAAAATCACCGGAATCATCATCACTTTTCCAATCATGCGCCGCAATCGACTGATTCCCGGTCTCGATCGTCGCCACATCCTCCACTCGAAGAACAATATCACATGTCCCATCAAGTTCAAAAGCCGCAACATCCTGAAGGAGCAAGTCAGTCAACTGAATATAACTGTATAACGCCTCAAGAAGCACGTCAACGTTGGTGCAAGAGGAATCCACTTACATGTTCAACGCGATTACAGCCAAAGTCGCGTATATCGCCGATTGAGACACCGGAAGATCGCTGGTTGATCGGTTGACAACCCCCTTGTCGACAAGTTCATACATTGGGGGTATCCAAGCAACAATGATAAGCAGCTCCGTAAGCACTGACCAGTGATACGTCCTCATGGCTAGTCCCCTGGCAAAGTTCAATATACTTGCCCAAATGGCCATGACCAAGGCAATCTGTCGACACATCTTGTCAGCCCGTTGCAATCCCTACATAGCACCGACAAGCCAAAAAAGAAGAAGGAGCTCAAAACTCACCGTAACAGGAATCGTCACCAGCCGCTCGTGTTTGAAGTAATGCCAACATAAGGCCGAGCAACAAACCACCACCACCCACTGCATCACCCCAATCTTATAATGCAGCCATAAAACCACCTTAAACTTTTGATAGCAGGCGTTGTGATACTCTGCCCGGTTGTATCCCATCTCCGCCGTCACGGGAATCCCGCACCAGCGACACGCATAGACTTGTTCCGAGTTGGCCAGAGTGTAAAGCCGTCCGACCGTGAAGCCCGACCGTTTCGCCATGCAGTTGAAGCACTTGCTGGTCATCGGATATCGCACATGCCCGCCGTTCCCCAACACAACTTCATCCCTTCTCATCTGCCTCAGGCAGATGTAGCACGTGCTCAGCATCGTCTCAACGAGCTGAGGAAACAGGGTCGTCATCACCTGATGGTTGATGCTATCCCGAAATAGGCGACAACTCTGCCGCAGCCGCAGGATCTCGCCAAAGTCGAGATACCCCAATATTTTGAACTGTAGCTCGGGCGGGAGCTGCAAGAAGCACGAGAGTATCGTCTGCCGATGGACGAATCCATGGTTGTCGCGCGGCCTTTGTGGCGATATCGGCTCCAACGCGATCTCGACCGGGTCTTTATCCCTGGGTCCGACCGTCGAGCGGGATCGAGAGCTTCCAGAGAGTCGGTCCCTCACCTTTTGTCGCAAACTCTGTTTCTGATTGACGTCCATATTTGTCCTTGGCTCACGGCATGAGGCGGATGAAGGAAGATGCTCGCTTCATACGGCGCCTGTGGCCGGGAGAAGAATCTTAGAGGAAGACGCAATCAATGCCACCACGGAGCCTTTGTCGCTTCCAATCTTGGCTAATGATAGTTGTCGAGCTCCTCACGCCAAAGCCCAATCGCAATGTGAGACACGGTGATTCTGATTCTGCAGTGTATGTATGCCCCCCCAACGGCGTTATCAAGTATTGGCCGAAGCAAACCGTGTGAAGCAGATAGATGCCCACCAAGCACAACAAACAAACAGTGGCAACAAAATAAAATGTAAAAATAAGAAAAGAAAAACAAGTCGTTTTCCGTGTATCGAACGATGAAAAGATATTGCACAACCCGTACTTCTTTTTATTCCCACCACCGCATCGTGAAACCCCAAAAGCGAGCAAGGCAGAAGAACAAAGTCCTAGATTCAGCCTCACGCCGTCTCGCTAGTTACCGTGGTGGGCTGCCGCGGCGACCAGGCAGCGAAAACAAAACAAAACAAACGAAAAAAAGAGGCCGCCTGATAGTTGTAACGGATATTCGGGTGGCGAAGTGAGGCTTGACGGGACGGCAGAGCAGAAAATACGATATGATATGCGACGAGACAGTAGAAACAGAAATAGAAATGAAAGATGCAGAGATGCGATGCGATGTTCTGAAAACTCTCGACGAGATGCAGGACAGATGCAGGACAGATGCAGGACAGAGGCGATGACGGCATAATACAGGTACAGGGCAGCCCGCCCGTTTGGCAGCAGTCAAGCAGCAGCTGCTACCTACTAGAACTTTAGGGTGAGCAGCCAATCGCCGCTCGGAATCTTGTTTACATTCGATTCTTCACTTCAACCAGCCTCAGCTTCCGCCGAAATCCAATTTCACTCGGCAGTTGCTGTCCATCTTCAACTCGGTGGCGCAGCTTGTGGCTGGTTCACCGTTTCAATCATCAGTCTGTTTTGTCAATGTGTGCCTTGAGCCAGTCAACAGTTGTAGTTGATGTATACATGTAATCCCACTACCGCGAATACAATATCTCGACCTCCATATTGGACTGAGTGATTGGCTCTCTCAGTTGTTTCATAATAATTTACTTTACTATTCTTCACATTTTACAGTATCGTCATCATTCTTGTTGATCCCGTACATAGTCATCCATCATGTCTCAACTCCATCCACGGCTGCTCTTCTTCCATAAATCTCCCCCAAATCAAATCATCAAACATGTTCCATACTCCCATCAAGATGCAGCAAACATCATCACCTCATTGGCAGCGCACCATGGTATCGAGGCCCCGAACGAACCCCAAGATAACCTCCCACCCTTCCGAGCCTCTTTCGAGTCAACAGCTCATTGAGTTCCTTCACCAGATAGCTCGCCGCCACCACCCGGAAGCTCTCAAGCGGCTTTTCGCTCTCATGGTGGCCGCCAGCCTGGCCATCCTTCTCGCTCCCCACAATCACACAAGCCCAGCACAGCTCCACGGCATTCATTCTCTCCCTCTCACTCTGCCCGTCATCATCAGTTGCGACCGACGCCGCGTCATCTGCAACACTCATGGCACCGCCACTGCGATCGCGTATAAGCTTTGCAAAGAAATTCATGATTCTGTCCATCTCCTCCTTCAGCTTGATGGACGAATCCCGTTGTCGCCGCGTTTGGCTGCCTCTAGGGTTCAGAATTGACCCGCAAAAGGCTTCCACTTCACTAATGGGAGCGCGAGGACTACTCGAAAACTGCCACATGGAATTGGAGACTTGCGTTTGATACCTATTTCAACCCAAGTTAGCCGCTTCAAAACATTGAGATGGGGGGGGGGGGATCGTACAGTTCACGAAGCTTCCATGCATCATCAACCCGATGAGCGTAATCAACGTCTGACACAGTATATCCTTCCTCCTTTAGGGCAACGCGCACATGCGCGTTCAACTGCTCCCATGGAGAAGGGCCGCTCGCTTCTACCGGCCGCTGCACATCGTGAACCCAGATTTTCTCTTCGTCCACCCCGCGATATAATTCACCCAGTATCTTCTGAGACTTGTAGTATATTTGCTTATTCATACCCATACCGTCCTCACCATCTCCATCCCATTCGGGATCTCCAATGTGGTCGATTTCGCCTCGATCATATAAGCGGGTAGGAGGAGCAGGCGCAAGGCTAGCAAGGAAAAGCGAAAGTTAGAAAATGTGCCTCTTCAAAATTGGCATGCTCTATAAAGCAACTCTTGTAGGGGAGACGGGACAGCAAATGGTACTTACAAATCTGGGCGCCCGCGTGGTGCCTTGGGCAGTTGTGAAATTGCCACTGCAATACCCGTCTTGGAGTAGTCGACTGCGGTTGAATGCAGCTCCGCGAGCTTGGTACACTCTTCGTCAACTGTTCCCTCTTCTTTGAAGTCTGCAAAAATCTGGTGCCGGTTGGCAATCATGCCCAGGATATCGCTCTCCATAAACTTGACAAAAAAGTCTGCAATGTCGTCACGCGTCACCACTCGGTCCAGCGCCGGCGGTGTAACTCTTGGGTAATCGGCCGGGGTAAAGTAACTCTTCGGGATGACAAAGGGGTCCCAGAAGATGCTGTACAAATCTCCGTCGAGGTCTCCCCCGCTCAACTGGCTTGGCAAATCGCGACTCCCCTTCTGGCTAAAGACGACGCAGTTTTTCAAGTCGTGGAGTGGGTGTCCAAGTGGCGGCGTCTTCAGTTGAGCAAGTTGAATGTCTCCGGGATGAAGGGCGGGTGAGCGCGTGACAAGCACAAACCCGTCCTTGACCGTCCGCTTCTTTCGGCCCTGGGCCTTGTCATAACTTGAATCAAAAGTGACATAGATTTGGCCCTCGTCAAGAAATCCCGTTTCATCCATGATGCCAAACAGAGTCACCCCTTGGTCCACCGGAATCCGTGCCTTGTGCTTCAGCAGACGCAGCTCTCGAAGGATGGTATGATCTACAACATTCTTCATAAACTTGTCTCGCCGGTAGTCGATCCCAACCTTGTTCAAGTACCTGATGAGCTTGGGAAACCCCACATGTGTGCCCACAAGCTGATGCTCCAAGAAGGCGCTGGTGTTTGGTGCCGAGGCGGTGACGTTTCGAAGTATGTCGAGGGCTTTGTTCTGCTGATCTATGAACCATTCGGCGTTTGTACCCATGTCTTCCAGAATCTTGATGGTTTGGCGATTCAAAACAAGGCGCAGCGGCTTTGAAGCCGTGTCACAAATGCCCAAACTCGTTTGGTCCGAGCTTGGAAACTTCATCATGGATTCTTTCCGTATGCAAATCACCTTGCCCTTGAGCCTGGAGTCGAGTGAGAGCATTCCCTTTATCCCTCCAAGGCGGACTTGAAAGCAGGTGGGCGACGAATTTGTCGCCGTGAGGTGGTCCCAAATCTCCTCCATGGCATCCCACGAGATGGTACCAACCCCGTCGCTGAATACGCGGTTTCCGTCGGCCGTTTTCACATCAGGGATGTACTTGACCTCGATGCCGCACTGAAAAATATCCACTGCGTCAGGCGTTTCGGAAAAGGCTTGCCCGATGCGCGCGGCGCATTTCGCGGGGACGCGAATGTCGCTAAAATCGCCTAGCGACTTGATGATGCTGTTGTTGTTCTGAAGCTCCATATTGTGGACAAAAGGTGCACAAAACCACGCCGAGTGAGAACGAAGAGAGGAGTGAGAAAATCCCAGAAACTCAAACTTTCGGCCAGCAACATGAATCCCATCCTTGAGAGTTTTCCGGTATCGTTCAAAAATTGCCGTGTTATTCACGCTGGGCAGCAACGCTAGATCCTGGCCATCTTCGTCGCCAAATATGACTCGAACAAAGTATTCTGAATGCTGTGGGAACATCCTCAGAACTCGGTTCTTGTTCTCACCATCAGGCCCGTGTAGCATGATGCGGGTTGGAGTAACCATAATCTTCAACACCCAAGCCTGCTGTTCCGGGAGTCGTGGACCATAGGGCGAGGCGCGCATCGGATCCTCTGCTCGATGCATTTGCTCTACTTCTATCACGTCATCAACCAGCTTTCTTGCAACAAGATGCTGTGAATCTGTCCCAGGGCACGGGTATGGAATGTTTTGAAACAGTTGCTTCATCGAGTCGGTGGTGAATGGCAGCTGTTCTCCGGCCCTCTTGCAGTCCTTGGCAATCCGGTCCATGATTTCCAGCATTTGAAGCGCCGTTGCTGGATGCAAGTAGTTGTTCCACACCAAAGCTTGTAGCTGAAATAGTATAGCAAATGGTAGGAGCCGTAGTCTTGAATTGCTGGCGTTTTGGATGGAGCCTTCGAATCTGCTCATGCAGGTGGAATAGTCTTCCTCATAGGGTCGAGGGTTCCTCTGCACAGGTAGATGCTGTCTCGTAACAACAATAATATTTCGAGATCTCAAGTCCTGAAGAGTTTCCGCATAATCTGCCGCGAGTGTGATGCGGTAAACCAAACAGTGAGCCACATATTTCTGATGGGCAGGCCACAGGTCCACCAAGAATGGTTGTCGCTCCCATTTGACATATTGCGAAGACGTCTGCTGAGCATAAAATCTTGGCACCTCTGTCAAGACGAGAGTCATTGACGCATCAGATGCCTCAGTAACAAGATCTTGGATAATATCGTAAGAGATATCAACGCGGTAATCGCAACCCCCCGAGAGCGTAAGCCTCAAAGAGCGGCGTCCAAACTTGGCCACACCTCGAACGGGCAGGCCACTCTGTTCGACAAATGTCAAGACATCAGAATCTTGTGTGAAGATGTTTTTTCCGCATCCGATGTGGCGGATTGCTGAGCTGATAGCGGGCGCCTTTGGGTTGCGATCAACGGCGGCGGGCTTCCGTTGCTTTGGCTTTTGCTGTTCTGCCTTCCGTTCATCCTTTTGGATTTTGAGGTGCATGAGAATCGTCTTGTCAGCTGCTTTGTTGCTCTGTTTGACAAAAATGTGTGTCTTGAAAAGGATTAATCTTGCGAAATCCTTGTGCTGGGATCTCAATTGGCCATTGTAATTTTGACGACCTGTGGCCTGTGATGAGATGCGAGTGACGACCTCATGACTTTGAAGAAATTTCCTCCCATCGTTGTCATTGAGAAAGGTGATCCAGGCATGAGGTTTATTGAGGGGTTTATCGCAGTGCCAATCGACGATGCTTAATTTTTTCATATGTGGCTCAAGCTCAACACGAAGTTGGTCATCCGACAAACCCTGCGGTACTTTGTTCAGAAACACCTCCATCGTGGCGTCTGCAGGGAACGATTGCCGCTTCCTGGCCTTGCGGCATTCGAAAGAAAAAGCGAGAAAAAAAAAGGGCGGTTTGCAACGGCTTCTTAAAGGTGATTTCTCTCCATCGCCCACGGAAGAGAAAAATCGACTAGCGTAGGCGGTCGACGCAGCTTGATCACGAAGGGGTCTCGACCCGCGCAGCCTTGCAGCATGACGGCGGTAAAGGAGGGGTTAATCAAGGCTGCTTGGTGGACTCGAGAGTTTGGCCCTCCCCGTTTGCTCTATGGGGATGCTCTATTGGCCCTTTGCCAACATGCTAGCCATGCGGGAGGCCCGCGTAGGTCGCACGGGGCGTGCAAACGGACATTTTGTGCGGTGGATGCCTGGGAAAATGAGCCCGCGGTGAGCTAGTTGCTGCTCGGTGACTTGGGAGATGCAGCCCCCACGGCTTTTGTAGTGGTTGAGACAGCGGGGAAAGGATGAGAAAGCCGACGTGGTGAACTGAGAGGCCGTCGTTTGTTGTTTGAGTGTGATTTGCGGTAGATAAGGTGGAAGAGGAGGATTGGCGCAGTGAGTGAGTGGGTTGTGAGGCGGTGGAAAAGGATTGGTGCAGCATTTTGGCGGTTGCTTTCCGGGATGCTCCCAGCACGTGAATGTCACTTGACCAAACCCCCCGCATCCTGTCATCGGGTGCTGGGTATCAAATTTGCCTAATCCAACTTATACTGAAATGACATGAGATGCTCATCCCCGAAATGATACAACACCTGCTAGACTCGTTTGGTTGTATTCTCTAGGCCCTGTCATTAACTCCCCGGCCAGCATCCGGCGAATCTTTCCGATCCCACGTGGGGCAGCTCCCAAGCTCCATCTCCATCCGTCTCCAATTGCCGAAAGCTCTCCAACTCCAACATGGCGGGGCACAAGAGGGCAGCCCGACTGAATATTTATCCGGGCAACGCCTCAACTCATAAGACGATGATTCGCAAACTCCTTCATCTCTGTACAATAATCCTATATACTTGATTTGTCTCTGTATCTCACTTTGCAAAAAGAAAGTAGAAGAAGAAGAAAACCGTAGGATTCGCTGACAGCAAAACAAACCACCAACTCAACAACACCTTCACAATGGCGACCCCCGGCAACCTCTACGTCACAATGCAGCCTCACGACGGCCTCTCGCTTGACCAGTTCCACGAGTGGTACAACAACGAACACGGCCCAACGCGGCTGCGCCTCCCGCAAATCTTCTCCAACGGCCTCCGCTATCGAGCCGCAGACGGGAAGCAGCCCGAGTTTCTCGCCGCCTACGATGTCACCGACATGGCGCATCTCGAGACCGAGACGTACTTGACGCTGCGCGCAAACCGCTCCCCGAGAGAAGCAGCCACTATTGGCCAGGTCGACGTGAAGCGGTACTTTTACGACTTGGTCCACGTCGAGGAGTCTCCGCTCTTTATGCCGGTTGAGAAGTTGACAGATGATGAGGCAGAAGGTCTCGTGGCTGTGGCTACTGAAGTCACTCTCAAGGATACCCCCCAGGCAAGCGACCTGTTCCGGAAGTGGTTCGTCGAGGAGCATGTCGGCTTCATGTCCAAGATCCCTGGCTGGCTGAGAAGTCGTCTATTCAAGACCTCGAGTCTCGAGCCCGACCAGCCCACAAAGTACCTGGCTTTCCATGACTTTGCCAAGGAAAACGGACTTGACAAGGCACAACAAAATGCTGCCACTTCTTCCTGGAGCAACGACGACTTTGAGAATTCCGTCGCATCCAGGAGCAGACGCATATACTCTCTCTTCTACACCTTTGGCCCAGCCCCAAGAGATCTAGACAACTTGTCGAGGCTCCCCACAACAGCATCCTTCACTTCACCAGACTCCAAGACATCCACCGTTGCCAGCCCAACTCCCGTCATCACCTCCTTCATCACAACCCCAGACAACCTCTCCATACCCTACCGTCTGGAAGGCAATCCCTCCCCCGACGCTCCCACCATCGCCTTCTGCAACTCCCTCCTCACCTCCCTCCACATGTGGGACGCCTTCATCGACATCCTCAAGGTCAATCGCCCTCTTCTCCGCATCCTCCGCTACGACACCCGTGGCCGCCATTCTGTTCCTCAGCCACCGGTCTCCGCCACTCTTGACACCCTCGCCGACGACCTCCTCACCGTCCTCGACGCTCTCCGCATCCCCAAGCTTCACACCCTCATAGGCGTATCCATGGGCGGCGCCACAGCCCTCAAATTCGCCCTCAAATATCCCACTCGTCTCCATCGTCTCATCGCATGCGACTTCAACGCCTCTTCCTCCCCCGCAAACTCACAAGCGTGGAAAGACCGCGTCGCCATGGCCGAGCAAGATTCCGGCCGCGGCATCAAGGACCTGGCCGACCGCACCGTCGCCCGCTGGTTCCACCCCGCTTCCATGGAGAAACCCGAGCTCGTCAAGTTCATGACCGACATGGTTGCTGAAAACGACGTCGAGGGATTCAAGCACAGCTGCACCGCTCTTTCAGACTATGACATGAAGCCCGACATGCCCGCTTGCCGCCTTCCCGGTATTTTTGTCGTCGGAGAGGGAGATGCAAACGGAGCGCTGGTAAAGGCAATGGATGGATTCAAGGGCCTCTACGGAGACGGCACTGAACTCAGGATTGTTCCCAACACTGGACATTTGCCCATGACTGAGGACCCACAGGCATTTTGGGGAGCTATCCAAGATGTGGTATACCAACTGTAACGCATACGGCGTGTTGTGATATGCAACGAATAGTTGTTGATAGAAATCTGTACATCTGTGAAACGTAGAAAACTAGAACATGTATTAAAAGGAATGTAGTCAACAAAGTTAACAATAATAACCGTCCAATTCTTTAGGGTATTTCTAAACTCAATAATGCTATTGTACAGCTCGCGTTTCCCTTGTGTCCCTTGTGTTTTTTGACCATGAGGTTGAATAAAACCGTACTCCGTTTGCGCCTGAGCCCCCAGAATCCATTGCGTGACACAAATCATCCAATCCATAAAACCACCCGAATGCTGAATCACAAGCCCAATCACAGCTTCCTGCCGCCATTACATCCGCCTCCAGTCCACCTCAAACGTAAACTCGAACGAATTGTCTGGGTTGCCAAAGACGAATGGCACATTGGCAGCCACCACGTTTGGGCTCACCGGCTTTGCGTTTCGTGACTTCCGGCGAAGCCGCTGCCGACGCAGCGCATGATCTTCGTACATCATACGCTTGTTACGACCCTTGGGAGCTGGTGGTGCGGGTTGCGTCTTGAGCGATACTGGCGGGGCGATATCCCACTCGCATGCCAAAATACCAAACCGCACCTTTTCGGGGCTCTTGTGACGACTCAGCTGGCTTGCCTTGGCGTATCGGATGAATCGGTCTCGTAGCCACTCCTGCATTCGGAGGACCTGTGGCTTCATGTCCCAGGCTTCGGCGTCTGCTTCGTAGTATGTTCGGGGGCCGCATTTGTACTTGCGCGGTGACCAGTTGCCTGTCATATATGAGAATGAAAATCGCAAGGATGCGGTAGCAAGCACTTCAACAGTCAGGATACTCACGAGAATCAGGATTTGATGGCGCCGCTTTGCGCAAGAGGAAGTAGTCCACAAAATAAAACTCCTCCAGATTGGGTAAATGCCTTGCCAGAAAGTGGTAGAGGTGATTCGGATAGACCACGTTGTTGTTCGCGGCTTCATGGACGAGTCCGCACAAGGGACATACTGAAGGTACTGGCTTCTCCTGCCACTGGTGACAGTATCGAACCGCCACCCGTCGAATATTGTCCAAGCTGGGACAGTTTGGGTCGATGTCGTAGCTGCACCCGCTTTCAAAGAGCTCAGAAGGGAAATATTCCAGAAAGATGATGTCAGACGAGCCTGCCAAGGCCACCAGCTTGCCGTTGCTCGAGCGAACAGCGCCTTTCTTGCGCATCAGGCTGTCCACCATGTCGTGGGACTCTCCACATGTCGTGAGGAGCGCTGCGAGCTGCTTGTTGAGGCCATGATAACTGGAAATGTCGGACTTTTGGTTTGCTGACATGGGGACAAGGCGCGTGTCCCACAACCGCCGGGGAGCAACTTCATTCTTGACCTCCAAAGCGATCTCGTCGAGGTCGTCGCCCTTGCTAGAGCCATTATCGGAAACGGCCTGTGAAAAGGGCCTATTCAACGACACCCATCTCCAGTTCCGGCCCCGGCTCTCCAGTTTGACGAAGCTCATTCCCGGGGTCGACACGGCCTCTCTCCATATCTGCTGGCGGAGCTCAGGCGGAAGGCGGGGGAAAGGCGAAAACGTTCGATGCTCATCGGGAATCTCGAATTTGATGTGAGGGGAGTCCATGGTGAGCCGCAGTCGCAGCAAACGGAGTACGTGATGCGAGGGTGAGGAGATAAACAAGGCCGCTCGAGCAGAGGGGAAAGGAAAAGGCGATACGAGCCCCAGGAGTCTGAAAAAAAAGGAGCAGAAGTGAGTAATTTAGGGCGATTTGCAGGACGCAGCGTTCGAGAATCTTGTGCGCGAGAGCTGCCCAACGGGATCGGAATCTTTTGGGTACAAAGAGGTAAAATAGTCCACCTGCCGATGACGTACTAAAAGCTGCATGTGCCTCTGCTGAAAGAAGAAGTGAGGAAGTAGAACAGGAACGACTGCCAGTGAACGGATTCCAGAGTGCAAATCGTGAGATGACGGTGATGATGTTGGAACGATCGTAAATATGGGTGGGAGGAGGAAAAGAAGCTGAGGTGAGCCGAGCCGGACGAAGAGGTTAGATGCCGATGCCTAAATATGCGGGAGAGAGAAAGAAGGAATCATCCGAATCGTCGAGCTTGAAGGCATCAGTCGGTCGTGCCATGTGAATGAGGTACATGCTGGCCCACAGTAGGCGCGGCAGGTACCTGACGAGTTTGTACTGTGCGACGGTGATGAATAGCGGTGGTTTGCAGAAAGGCGGAAGGCGTTGGGGGGAGTCAGCGGTGAGTTTAGTGGACGCCACCTGATGAAGTTTAACACCCGTGGAGATGCTACAGTGCATTTACAGTGTATCCTCTTAGGTAGGTCGCACGCAGCTAACAATTGCGGCCCAATGATGAGGTTTGGTTCAGATGCGCCTCACATTGGATTCAATCTTTAACATTGATGGGTTCTTGCATAAACGCCACAATCAGAAGAAGCCTTTTGATATTATTGAATTCGAAATGATACACACCTTCTACCATCATGCTGGTCAGGGAGATGTGGCTTGGCACGTGTTGTTGGGAGGGATCACGGCCACATGGAGTGCACAAGGCAATCGTGTCTGCCAACACTGATTAACTCGTGCAAACACAGGATTATATCCCAGTCAGGATATCTTGCATACAGTTGATAATGTTTCAACTTGCTCGCCAGCTAATCTGATACTGATGCACGTACTTGCAAAAGCCGGGGTGAATCCGAGCGCATCACCAGTAATTCACTCATGGCGGCGTGATTCACATAACTGAACTCTTAGGCGGCCAAGGTTCCGGGGCTCCGTATCATTCACTTCTTCTTCAACTATAAACTTTGCGGTGCGGTTGATAAGTTTGACGAAACCAAACTCAATATGTGGAAAGATTGCGGATGCGCATAACCTGTCGCTGCACCGAAGATACGGGAATTATACAAAAACAGCATGCACCAAGGCATCGAATGCATGCATAATGCACAAGATAACCGCATTCTCCATGGCTCATCCATCCCCAGTCCCTGTTCTAGGTGTCAGTATTCGCCAGCCTCTCCATCTTCCTGTCAGATCATGGTACATATGCAGCCTGCCGTCAATCGGGATGGGAGCGGACAATGCATGCCTCAGGAGAGATCAAGGCACGACAAAGGACCGCTAGACTAGCAGGCCGCCACCGCCGAATTTAGAATAAGGGACATGGAGCTGAAAGGAAGGGTTCGGAGCATCTGCTCTGGAGAGATCATAGCCAACGGGTAGCTGCATGCGAAACAGCCTGATACTTCAAAGCCAGCCGCGCGGATACATTCGTGGCAAAGGCCTCCAGCCATCAGCGTTAGTGCTCATCGTATGGCCTGGATCGCAACGCCTGAAACTCGTCTGGCGGTTATGTAAATGTACCCAGAGTTTCAGGTCAGATTCAGCAAACACATCCATTGCCATTTGGCCGTAGACTCAGGAGTAGGTACATTAGGTGATTCAGGCTGGTGGTTCGCTGAAGAGAGTGGACGGGCACATGTACCTTGTAAATTCCAGGTGAACATCAGGAGCGCAAGATGCCCCGTGCCATTGATGACGGGCGGCGTTTCGTAGAAGCCGGGCTGAGTCGAGCAAGTCATTGCATCTGATCTGTGCTTCCGCAAGTGTGAGCCCGCGTACTCCGTAAATGAGCTGCCATCCAGTCGTAGGAGCTGAGTGTGTTCATGGTTCCTTCAATCATACATGCTCAACTGGAAATGCACGGCTTTCCGACTTCTCAAGGATCGCTCTATCAAGGCGTCCTACAGATACCATCGAGCGACTGCTCACCATCTTGCTCGAGGTACCCTTAAGCACCAGCTCTGCCAACTGGCATAGACGGATCAATACCTAGTACCGCATGCAGGTTAGCTGCTTTCTCACGTAGCACAGCGAGCCTTTCCCAGGCAGCTATTGAGTGAGGCTCGGCCGCAAACGCCAGATGAGGGGAAAGAGTTGGATGTGACGTCCGCTTATGAGTAGATGACTCGAGACAAGTGACAACGGGCTGTTCAATCACCATGTTCTAGAGCATGGCTCGCGCTATCCCGAAATTGTGACGGCATGTGCAGGTAGCCGCATCCGCTGCCGTCGCGGAACTGTTCCCAGCGTTGCAATCTGGAGCTGAACCTCGAGGCCACCATAGAAACAAGTGCTGGAGAATCCCACATTGCCCCGGCTTTTTGGATCCCCTCACGGATCACTGAGTCGTGTTTCCTGGACCTCCACCCTTGTACCTTGTAAATCCTGTTTTCCACATCCGGGGGGGCTCCACGCTGTTCTTTTTTATGTAATTCAGATACTTGCATCTACTATACTATTAGAGTCTCTGAGAAGTTAGAGTAGGTCGACCGAGCAAAGCGAATCATATTCACAATGATTACGCTCTCCAAATGCGAGAGTTACGCAAAATGAGAATGGCTCGTGACCGTCTCACACTGCGAATCATATAAACAATCTTACCAATCAGGGGGGATGTGGCTTTGATGTCTACTAAGCACTTATAGCTGCCGCATGTCCCGTACTTATACTTGCGTTCAGACCATGTACATTATGCTCTTGTAGATTGCACAAGGTAAGTAGTTCTACCCCTTCAAGTTTCACGGGGACGGGGACGGGGACGGGGAACCTGCCATCCGGTTGATGCCCAATTTGACGGGTTGGTCCGGGCAGGGAGTTGAGGCCGAGTCGCTAGTAGACTGATTGGACTTATAGGTTACACTGCGGCTGTATGTCTTACTTCTTCTGATGGTTGAGTGGTTGGTCGAATATTGTAGGATCTGGCAACACCCGATGCTCTTTTTCTTTACACCAATGCGTACATCTTCCGTCTAGCAGACTCAGCACCAGTGGACAGCAACAACCGACCGATGCGTATCATGTGAGAGCAATATAAAGATGTACGAGCAGCTCATGGTTTATTTGATGCATGTTCTTGGCATATACCAATATGGGGAGCACACATGCCCATGTCCTCAGCCTCAAGCCTCGCAGGGGATATGTCAAGGATACATCTCGCCTACCCCGATATGTTCCCCCCACAAACCGAATTTAGGCCCTAGCTCCTGTCAAGCCTAATCTGTAGATAGAGGAGGATGTGAGAGAGAACCGACAGGGGGCTTTACATGGGAAGAGAAGAGAGTCGAGGCGCTTTGAGCTTGATGCTGCTGTTGGAGAGGTCTCTCTCGTCCCTATATATTCCACCTCCCCTGATAGGTCACGTCACCAGCGACATACCTCTCGAGTTTTGGCAATACTATCTAGTTTATTGAATTTATGTCACAACCTCGTTCAAAGGTCCGTCTGTTTATTCTTGGATCTCTCTATATAGCAATCGTTACGACTTTGCAGCCATGTCTCCTTCATCGACCTGCTCTGTCGACGGAAGCAACTCGTACGTATTGTCTTTTTAGTGGCTTCAGTCCTTTATTTGCAGTGCAATTATAGCACTCCAACCTCGAACGATTCATCACTTTTCGCGGCGTTGCCCTACATAGGTAGCTATCCAAGAATGCCCGTACTAATAACAAAGTCATTTAGTGCTACCGATTCCGAAAATACCACTGTCAACAGCCAAATTATCATTATCCACCACATCCTCAATAACTCCACGTATAACCTCGACCGGTTTCTTGGCCGCGCTGGGGAGATGCCCACGGATCAACAACGGTCACCACCTGGGTTTGGACGGACCCAGGAGGGAGCTCTGACGGAGGCTGAAGCTGAAACTAGGGCAAAAGAGCGGATTTCGACACAGCTTCAGGAGTTTGACGTAAAGTTTAGTTCTTGCAGCGCCGTGTCTCGTAACCAAAGCAAATATTGATAAAGAATCGCATAGTATATAGCCCATTATACAGCTTATGAAGACCACGATAAAGAACTCGAATATTGATGTACAAACATATAGGCATGGCATCCTTACTATGAAGAGAATCTTGCGAAAACTACGCTTAGGACAAGTTGGGCTATGAGATGGATGTCTATACATGTACATATCAAGCCGCCTTGTTATGCATCCGAGTTATGAATGGCATCTCATGTGATTTGATGTTACACAAAAAGCTTAGTCACGTTCGTCAGGCCAGGTATTTAAGCTCATGGATCCTCAACCCCGCTCAGACGATCCCATCTCCACTTCCCCCATCATCACCCGACACTAACAATTGCCCAACATGGCAGCCCAGTCCACTGAGTTCCCCCAGTTTGGCCGCCTGCCTCCAGAAATACGCCTGAATATCTGGTTCTTCTGTCTTCCTCATCGGGTCGTGCAAAGAGACGACCCTCTCTGTCTTGGAGATGTCCAAAGACAGCAGATGTGCTGGTCTATGCGATCGGCTCTCCGGAATGCTTCTCTGCCGCTCCTCGCCTCCGTCTGTCGCGAGTCGCGGGGGGTCGTTAGAAAATGGGGCAAGGAAGTCATGCAGGACTATTGGTTCAATCTAGGGCCTATTTGGGTCCAGCATCGCCTGGACGTCTATACCCTCAACTGCAACGGCTTGTCGAGTTGGGAAGGCGATGATATACACATCGTCATGGAGTTCTTCGATGAGGCGTTCTATCGACTAAACTTGATGCCGCTTGCGATGAGATCCGAATACTTTTACCCATTTAGCCTAGATCCGTCACCAGAACTTGAGGAGGTTTCGAGCTACCCTCAGCTCAAACTCCACGAGAGAAAGAGACGGCCCGGCATACCCAGTATGGACGATCCATACAACGAGTTTGCCAGACATTCAGAGAGGCCCTATACGAGAATTTCTCAATCTGCTACCTTGGCTTTCATATGCATTCATACCACCAAAGCGCAAGCTGCAGACTCTGGTCTATTTGGCCTACTTCTCGATGCGCCCGTGCAGCTTGTGGATTTCGACGACGAAAAAAGGCTCAAGGCATTCCATGATCTTTTCAAAAACGGCCGTCGGTCCAACAACAAAAGACTCCATGTCAACAAGCAATTCGCCTCCATCTTGGCGCCCGACTTCAAGTGTCGAGTGGAAAGCTGGAGGGAAAAGGTGGATTGGCTCATGATGACATACGCATGGCTGCGAGCGAAATACAAGAACAGCCATTTCATCCCAATCGAGGGGGATCCTGGTTTGGCCTGGAATCCACCACTTTTGGATGACCAAAAGATTGTCTATATGAACAACAAGGAAAAGCCGAATCAAGTAAACCTCTTCAACAATCGGCATCCATGGGTGATACAAGCGAAGAAGGAATTACCAAGAATCGCACCAAAGATACAGTTTCTTCTTTGCACCGATGAATGTGAGGTAGACGAAGATCCCCACATGGTACGGAGCATGCCTATACCAATGAGCGGTCACAGTCACTGGTTTAGGACCACACAGACGTATGCTGATCTTCCAGAACTTTCGTAAACTATAGATGAGATTTAATACAGATTAGTATGTAATTAATTCCTCTGGGCTCTAACATATATTGTCAGTGGAAGCATCTACTGACGCGGCTAAAACATTATGTTGCCCGTGAATGAGTTCCTCTCAATATGCCTTGCCTACATAACCTATTATCTACTTAGATGCAGTGCAAGACTGCCGAATACAGGAAGATGCACACTCGGGACCAGAACTGCCCGTCTTGGGCAAAGAAATTTGGCCGGTCGTATCCGTAACACTCAAGACCAACATACATTGGGCATGCCACAACACTCGCTCAGCTTGCTTGGAAGTGTTCGTTTCAGCTGAGATGTTGACTGATAGCGTCAGGGGTAGTGCAAGAAATGATGCCAGAACATATGATACAAGGCGCAGCCAAGTTGAATATGGAAATCGCCGAAAGGCGGAAATATCACGCATACCAAGGGTAGGAAATGGTTTCAAACTCGCCTAAGTAGATGAAGGCGGCTTGGTAGACGTGAAATTGTCATGTAAATGCGGAGGAGGACCAGGATAATGATGAAGAACATGATCTTTCCAAGGATCTTCCCCGGACATGCAAGCCCAAGTGACTCTAGGAATCCTTTGGGTCGTAGGATCGGTTCCCCTACTGAATTCCCAAACCGTAGCCACGAGATAAGTCCTGTTATAGGCGAGTTCTCGGGCAACGAGATCAAGATGGTGATGATAGCCAGTTCCAATGCGCCAGCCGCATTGCGGAGGGTTTGAGTTTGTCTGTAGAAGCCCAAGCACGGGATCGGCCGGGGTGGTGCTGTTGATAGCCACAAAGTAGTCAGAAAAATTGGCATTTTGCGGGTTTTCTAGATATACATACTCAAAATATCCTGGCGAGAGAATCCAAATGTACCAACACAGCTTTGAGAAATAGGATCAGCTATGCGCTGTGAGCACATGGAATCCTCATTCTTATAGGCCCAATCTTTACTCAAAGCGGCGGCGAGGTCATTCTTGCAATCCAAGGGGAGTGCGTCACAGGTGTTTTTATCTCTGGATATTTTTATCGCAGCATTCGTCTAGATGAAGATGTGGCGGCAAATGTACCACGAAGAGTGCATAGGCAACGGATGTCCATTGGACTTCATGCTCTTGGGGATGTTAAAGGTTAGCTCGGTTAGGACGGTGGTCAACCTATTCCCAGCGGTTTCATCCCCGAAAAAATCGTCAGATATCATAAAGCCCGTCATGTGACCCTCATCGATGAAGGTCTTTCCTTGATAAGGCTCAGTCCAATCGTACCCGGGGAAGAGAATTACTTGTGAAGTCAAGGGCTTGACAAATGCCTCTTACACTTTTGGCCAAGAGAGATTAACGACGTTGTTCGATTTCACGAAGAAATCGGTGCTGTCCAAATAGACAGGGGTGTAATTATTTGCACTCATCTTTGCTAGTTGGCTGAACTAAGAGGCAAAGAACTCAAATTGGAAGTATGGAGCAGGAGGAAGGAGGGTTTATAAATACATGTACCTGTGGCTCTTCCAAAGAGCGATGGAAAAAGGACGGTGTGATATGCTTGGACTCTCTTATCGTAGACGAGGTTGGGCCTGCCACGTGAAAATTGCTGGACTATCATGTCTGCCTCGAGAATAACGGCTTTAGAACTCTCAAGGGCATCGTCAGCATTATTGACAACTGCGGTAGGCGTATCTCAAATCTGACCAGCTGGGAACGCTTGGCTCTATGCTTGTCGATAGTCGTTTCTGTTTTATATAAGTTTATAGAACGATGGGTTTGCATATCATCACAGAGAATATATTCGTTAACTTATGCATTTCAAGCTAAATTACTATATACTGTCCGGTGACGAGCCTGAAAATATACACAACGACTGTCAAAGACAGACCGGATACAGGAGCGTGTCATATGCTGAGACCTGGAGTGGGCGTTTAGTAACGAATGCAAGCTGGTGGACGAGGACAGCTTCCGTGTGATCGGTCAGCCACGCTAAGAATTGAAGGTTCGTGGATTATATGTGGAGGCTGAGGAAAGTTTTGAGATTGCACTGTAACGACGAGGACATAACTAGTAGACAAGGAAAAAGAGCCTTTCTCCGTTATGCAGACGCATTTCCTGGCGCCGTCTCAGTGTGCCCATCATTGCCTGACAAGGACGTCGTGTGTAAACAACTGCAAAGAGACGTTTGTAAGCGCCTACATTAGTAATTTGACATTCTCCAAGTCTCGCTACCGCGACAGCTTTGCGCTCTTGTAGCGCCTCTGATTACTAGTAAGGCTGGCGAGGCTCCTGCGCTATTGCGGACTATTACGGACATTATTAAATATCTGGCGTTTGTGCTTGTCGCTATTCTTGATCTTATACCCAGAGCCGCCTGAGGTGGTGGTGGTGGTAGCAAGTTGTCCAAGATGACGGGACTGTAGCAGGCATTCATGGCGCAATCGCTCACGAAGGTGGACGACTTAGCGAAAGTCTCGTAGGAGTAGATTCAATGTTAATACATGTAGGGAGTGTTCAAACTTCGTTGGATGGACGAATTGTTTCAGAACTGATTTGCGAGGCGTGTAGTCGAAGTGCAGTTCAATGGCAAAAATCCCGTCGGTTACTTTCTTGCGCATCCAGATACTGGGACGAGCACGCCTGAAAGCTGTGTTACAACTTGGTGCCAGTGTTACAATGCCCGTGTGATAACTTGATGCCCATGGAATAATCCCCCCTTCGGTGTCACATGCTCCGTGGTCGTCATTGGGCGTTTGATGGCCTAGGGTGATTTTGGCACCGTATGTATGCACACGACATAGGCCAGATGCAGACGCACCCTCCCTCTCGAGACTGGTTTTTGTGTAACCAGCCCCAGCCCACCCACACCCCCAGCACTGCCTGGCGTCCTTCTTCCGATGTGCCCTTTGCAGCTATTGCATGGCTTCTGGGTATTACCCCGAGGCTGAGAAGTATGGATCTCAATGTACCCATGCTGTACCTGGCGCCTCAGAACTGTGTCACCAACGCGCACCCTCGCGGCAAATCCAAAAAAAAATAAAAAAAAATAGCCATTGTCAAGGATACTTTGCTTATGGCTGACTGGAATACGGCATTTATTCATACACAGCTTTAAAGCCTGACCTTAATCCCTGCAACGTACATCAAGACCCAAATATAAATATCCGCTGTTTCTCTTTACTTGTCCATTGCTCGTTATGTTTGTAAAAACAATTTCTACGCCATATTATTTTATACAAAGTGCCACTGCTTAGCTTATGTATATCTCCCTCCTCGATTATATATCACCCAAGTGCTCGCTTCTCAACATGCCCGAACCACGCGCCGTCTATGATAACAGCAGTTGGTATGTCCTATTTAGGAATTTGTTTTCTCTGAACACAGTTTCCAATCGAAAAATGTTTCTGTCATGAATGTAATGGAAATATTTGCCAATCTATTTTCTTGTATCTTTACACAGATAGCCCCTCTCCGATCGATAGTTCCACCATCTTCCTTCATGGACATCATGCAATATGTTATATGAAAACTTTTGAGTGTGGAGTATTGTGCTTGTCAAAACTTGAGGGCTGACTTAAGAGATCTGGTTCGCAGCAAGATTGATGCTGGAAATGCTACTAGTACCACCATTTCGACGGAGAGCCATGTCCCATCTTACAGTCTCAATCGTTTCCTTTCCGAACCAAACCATACGCCCGGTTATAGATCAACACAGAATTCAGCCAAAGCGGAAAAGCATATACTTGATGAGCTGCGCAAATTTGAGGTGAAATTTGCATTAAGCAGCGAGGCTCCCAAGCGCAGCTAGAAGATTGGATACTGGACCGCTGCATTTGCAAATACGTGATTGCGGAATACATTGGAGATGTCTATGTACATACACATATATGGGCGTATATTTTTACTGTGTGGATAGCGATTTGCAAAACGAAGATGCTTAGATAGAATATCTGATTAGATAGAATATCTGATTTATTCTCATCAATAAATGCTTACACCCATCATCAGAAACATGCGGACTGTGACTGGCCGACGTATGAACAGACGTTGCCTTTATAAGCATTGTCTCTCAATCCTCACACATGTTGAGAACAATCTGATGTTTCTTTCAAGCCTGTAGAGCCGCTGCCGGGCGGCATTCTCAGTATTCGATTATACATGTACTCTTGGTGACATGTAAGTAGCAGACATGCGGAAGTTATCAGGTGGTATCGCTCTTGGTGATTTCGACCTGTATTCATTCAATAACGCTTTAATGGCCAGGGCTTTCACATCACAGCAGATGACTCTGCATTCTCTCGTCAGCATCTGGGCGTAAAATGAGCTGCCGATATGGACGGAGCCCTCAAACCCATACGTTGATTAGATTAAATCTCTCGGATTTGGCAGTTCATAGACCGTCAGACTGGACCATTGATATGGAAACTTGAACATTATAGAAGCGGGTGAAGATAATGACTGGAAAAATAATATTGGGCAATTGATGATAACATCAAGAGAATAGGCATAACGTAATGATAGTATTTCCTTAGAAAGCGATGGTCTCGATAACGGCAATGCTACATTTGCTGTGGTGGTGACAGCTCTGACAACCCAGCGCTTTTAGCCATGCAGTGGGAGGTGCCTTGACTCACGCCGCCGTGGCCATCGCCTACATCATCGAGAATCACAAATCTGTGTCATTTGTTGGGCTTAGATTTTTTTCCCCTCGCCGGATGGGGTGGCGGTTGTAAACTGCCTAAAACAAAGGGCTACAATAGGCATCCAGGGCGCGGCCGTCAATGAAGGCGACTGACTTAGCCCAGTTCCCTCAGCAGTTTAATTCATACCTATGTAAAATAAATACTTTAAGAAACACAGAAAGAATGGCGTAGCTGTTATCGCTTGCTCATTTGCAACGCAATGTATTCAATGACAGTATAGATGCCGCAATATTCATCTATAAATCCAATAATCTGCTATTTGCAACGAGTACGGCCCACACAATTTGTACGTCAAGTCCAGGTACAGAGTATATCGTACCGACCAATTCTGTCTGCTTTCGTTCGTTTGTAGGCATACACCGAGACGACAGATATACGTACACATATACGACAAAGCAACTACCTTTATAACGATTCCTCCGATAGAATTGTGACGGATCAGTCTAATACCTGCTTACCGCTGCGCCTTGTCCGCGACTGGCACTCAACATAGTGTAGATACTTTAATTGTACCCTGCTTCCACCCTCATTCATTCCAAGGGCTGCCTTGTGCTGCTTCCCCAACCCCGTTTTCCTCTCGCCGCGGGAGGTCATGTATGAGACGTAAGTATGCTTTCCCCTGTCGATGTTTGGCTTCTTTCCTGCCGTTTCGCTGACTGACTCGCGGCCGGCGATGGATTGTTCATGGGAAGCGGGGCGCTGTGGTGAATTCCTTTGACAGCACATACATACAGATAGGGGCGGACGCCTTATTGGTTGCTGGCCTGCACAGTACAGGCGGGCATCCCACGTAATGCAATGAGTCCAAACTAGCCCGAGGCCATCTCCCGACCTCGTGTCTAGCCCGAATCCCTGCCCAAGCCTGATCCCTAGTACGTACCTATTCCACTTACAACACAGAGCCGCACCCAAATACAGGGTAGGGATTCCCATGGCGGCACCCCAGCTAACAGGCCACTCCACTATTGATTGTCGGGTGTATTTGAGCCCGGGCAGCTGAAGCCCTGAAGCCACTAAGGTAATTACTAGCGGCTCTACTAGGTACATGTAGGTAGTACTGTAGGTGCCACCCTTCCCCGTCTAGCACCTATATTCTCACGAGAGAGGCACCTTCAGGTTGTGTTTCTCCCCTCAAAACGATATATAAAGACTCTCTGTTCTCCAATTCATCGTGTATGAAAAATAATTATGGTCTCTTCACGCATACGCATCGCCGCGGTTTGCATCAATTCCACACCCCACTCTGTTCTACCTGCCTACCCCCGAGCAATTGATTTTCAACATGCCTGATCAATCCACTTGTGCTGTCCATAATGGCGGCAGTGCGTAGGTGCTGTTTTTCTTATCAAACACTCTCTCTTATCCCTAACAAATTTTTATCACTTGATCTGCCCTCGTTGAACCTTTTTTTGCCGTGGGTGCTTCCCGCAGTAAATGCAGTAAATGCAGCGGATGCCACTAGCCTTTGTATTCATCTTCCATCTGCATGCATATGGTTCTCGGCGCTTCGTCTTCCATAATATGAAAAAGGCATATAACGTTCGACAAATTTAGGTGTAGACCCGTGTGCTCGTGACATCGAGGAGCTAACTAGACATTTGATTTATAACAGCATCGAAGCTGAAGTCATCGTCAGCACCAACATTTCGACTGACGACGTCGACCCCTCGTACAGCCTTACCCGCTACCTCTCTGACACAAGCCACCATCCACCCGGTTACAGACTAGCACAGGCTACCACCACTGAATCTGAACCGCGTGTACTTGAAGAGCTACGCAAATTTGAGGCAAAATTCTCCTTGAACGGCGACGCTCCTAATCGCAATTAGCAGGTACACATGCCGAGTGTACATATGTATGCTTATATGTAAGCTGCATAGATGTTTGCAGATTTTGTTTTAAGAACAGCAGCTATTATGCCATCTTTGTTATCACCGAGTTCTCGCGCTTGGAAGTATGGAATCTCAAATTGCTTTTTGTCGATGGAGCTCGTGTCATAGTGGGTTAGGATCAGCGATACACGTTTGCATTTTTACACTGGAAGCGGATGAAAATCTAGGCTGCTACCTTTAAGCGCGCACATAGATACAATGCACATTCATATTTATTGCGGTGTCTGGACTTGTTATTGACTTGTTCACTCTTTTTATTGCTAGATACTCATGCCTGGAAAATGGTAGAGTTCCAATGCCGTCAAAGCGTGTGAGGATGTCCGAAAAAGGAAAAAGGCAGATCTCGCTAGTGGCTGCCTTGTCTCCTCTTTAGCGGCCCGACCCTAGTAAAACTCTCGTTAGTGCAGTAGGTACAAGTCTTTTGTACTTGTGGGGTAGGTATGGGCCACAACTGCGTCATGGAGAGTTTGCATAGCCGTAGATGGAGGAACGGAGTAGAGAGTTGAGGCAATCGTGCACCTACTAACATAGGGGCGTCTATAGATTGTATCATCTAGGGACAAGGGCCGTAAATCATGAAGCCGGTGCGCCTCAAGCAGAATCATCATCGTGTATACATACAGTCGCGCGTACTGCTACAGCGTTCTTGCGTATATGTGAGCTGCGGTGAGCCGGTTGGAGTGACTATTGGGGTATGGCTGCTGCATTTCCTCTATGCGAGGTGTATGTAGCTAGAGGCTAGTAGAGCATAGTAAGTCGCTAGTAGACGTGAAACTACTATATACTCGTTGAAGCACTGACAAGATATGGAGGTGTTTGGCAAACATGCTCGATAGTTTCAAGGCCAGCCACACTAAGCTCTCGACTTTAAATAAAAGCTTTGTCCTTTTTCGGGGTGACTGATGCATGGATATTGGATGAATGGGACAGTAGGTAGAGCAATAAGGCCTCCACTGGAGTCCCTCGTGGAGTATTGGAGAAGAAAAAGCGTACCTGCCTGCAGATACTAGCCAATCCTAGTCAATCTGTCCATTGTACTCAATCTAGGCGGTCTTTATCGAAGAGAAAGAGTACCCCGTCTTTAAAGGAGCAATCAGACCTTTGCTCGAACAAGAGAGCCTCGTTCAAGGAGGGACAGAGTTTTCATTTGAATAAGGACTTGTCCAAGGAAGAACCCATTGTTTAAATTAGGACTTCTGTCCGAAGCAATGTTTGTTGGTGAAGCCGAAAAACTATCGTTCAAAAGGATATGTGGCTGAGGCAGGAGGCTGTCGCACAACGAAGTGGTCTTGCGCCACATTGTGATTTGAACCCATATCTTAGGCGACTCTGTAGCTGGTCCTCTATTTTGGGTGCTAATGAATGACATTTGTGGCACTTGCAAGTATGGAAATCAGCTACCTACAGTATTTTGGTAGCATGACGTATAGCGAGGCTTCCCATAGACGTGCACTTCTGTGTCTGCTCCATTCGTCGTGGATTTGACCATAGCTCCAAGGCTCCAAGACTCCAAGACTCCCGGTCGGGGATGGGTACCCAAGCGGAGAGCGCGGAGAGGGAGCTCAATGTGGCATATTGACAGAAACTCATTGACGGGCACAGCCAGAGTTGGGGAGTTGGAGACTCGGCTGTCAAATCTAAGAGCCCCAAGCGGTTTGTAAAGAACTGGGATTGACGAAATGATCAGCGCACACAGACATGCGCTTACACTCTTAGTACGCGCATACCGACCACGTTAGGATCCTCACTTGCAATAGCACTGGAGCCTTACGAACCGCATGCACGAGGCGGGCTCACATATTCAGACTAATGGCCCCAGTGCACACGGTTTCAAGCCATATCGGTGCAATTGGACGTCTGGCGGTGCTACTGTACAGCGAGTCGAGATTCCCGCTATGAACCATGCGCCTATAGCCCCTGGATGCGGCCGAGGGCGGGGGCCTTGAGAACAGCCCGAGTCTATCCAATCAGCTAAGACTAAGATACCCGCCTCACTTTTCCCTTGCGAGTGATAGTCATTCCAGCAAAGAGCAGCATCGTGTTCCCCTCCCACTTCCCGACCATGTTGGGCTCTGGGTTCTCGACCGGAGAGGAGACTGGGCAATAAGGGGTCCATTAAGGCAGCGAGGCGTACAAGAGGCACGCGCACGCGGCACTCGCATTCAATGGCATGGATTTTGCAGGCCGGTACATGAACTGTCCCGAGTCTCGACGACTCTATGCATCTGCACATACTATCGACGAGCAGCAGCTAGGCCTGCCGTGCATGGGTCCTAAGCAGCCTCCCCATAACCCTAACCACTCCATGATCCCTGATGACAATCCCTGGAGCTCCATTGAGCCACGACAGGTACCTACGAGTACAGTACATACCTATATAGGTTCGTACCTGTATGCAATATCACTCAGTGCAAGTGCTTATCTGAGGTAAAGTACCGTCATCCCTGCAGCCCAGACCAGAGCCTGCCGTACACCACCACCGGGGGACGGCGCAGGCTGCTCCACTGCCTCCCCCAAAAGCCATCAAATCAGCCTATGGGGATGAATTAATGGATTGAATCCACTTGTGCATCGGCCAGTAATAGCCCAGACCGTCGTTTTGACGTCGAATCTCTGGGCGCGCGTTCGGCGCTATCGACAATTGGAGCCGAGCTCACTGACTTACGACCGTCGCTGTTTGGGGCCCACACCACCGCCTTCTGGGATGGATGGCCTCACAGGTGTAGCAGAATATGATTATAATTCGGTACCTGAGAGCTTTATATTCTGGGTTTTCTTCTTCTTTTTCACTCATGAAAACAAAATTACATTCCGGATCAACCACTACAATAATCGCTATCGGCATCTTCTCTCTTATGCGTATTCAGGTAGTTTAGGTTCAAGTTGTCTTTATTGCCTTTCGGCCCCCACTCCGAAACTCTGGTCGATCAACATGCCCGAGTCTTCCACTCGTGCCTACAACGGCAGCAATGTGTAAGTATTATCTTAAACATTCATTCTCATAGCTTTGAGTTTTCTATTTTGTTGTATTTACTTTTTGGTCCCTCGATAATCAATCCGTTCATGGCTGCCGTACGCAGAATCTACCCTCTCTCATATTACTCGTGATCCCCTTCTCATGAACGGCTTGGAAAAGAAGTTATCATTTCTTCCATAAAGCACCCAGCAATTGATACTCTCAAGAGTTGGAAGTTCTCATATGCCGATGACATCTTAAGAGCTAACAAGCCCTTTTCTTTATTAGTGCCAACAATAACGATGCCACCACCGCCAACAAACCCCTTCATGGTCGCGAATCCTCCTATAGCCTTGACCGGTTCCTTTCTGACATGGACCGAAGCCACCCACCCGGGTACGGACAAGCACAGAGCCCTTCCGAATCGAAACAACGAATGCAAAAAATTCTGCACAGCTTTGAGGCTAAATTTGCCTCCAGCAGCGACCTTCCTCATGGCAACGAGTCTGCTTCTCGCAGTTAGAAGCTAGAAGCTGAGAGATTAGGTCACTGCAGGCGAGCGCGTCTGCATACGAGATGCATTGGAGTTATATAGGGGTATATTGGCATTGAATATGGGTCATTGGCATTGTATAGCTATTTGTAAAGATTGTCAATCTCACTTTTTCACTCTCATGAGGTGACTCTGCTCGCCCCCAAATCCCCATGCTAAAGAAAAAACTTCATGGTGAGACCCCTTCGAAATGAGGATGTGGCAGCAGAGCATTGCTCTCTGGTGCTTAGTGGCCCTCCACTGTCAAATGCGACAATCTAGTAGTGCGGTGCTACGGATGGCGAGCCTACGCCATCCATACCAATTAAGGGCGCGATGCAGTTATAACAGATCTCAACATTGTCCGGTGTTCCTCGCAGCATATCGATGGCCAACTTGCCGTCTTCTCGTCGTACTACGTTCCTGTCTATTTGCCTATTTCGGCAAGTCCCAAGTTCAACGGTCCGCGACCCACAAAGCGTCCAGCCCCTTGCCTCTTCCATGTCTTCACCCACCAATTGGAAGTGTACACACGAAAGCCTCCAGAAGCCTTTGGATTCTTTGGGGCGCCCTGTCAGGTCGCCATCGTTTCCGGGAGTGCCTCTGAGCCGCCTGCTCCTGTCGCTAACCCCAGCCCACTCACTTTAACCCTATGTCACTCCGGCCGGGAGGATGGAAGCTGACCAGTATCGAAACAGACCCTCCACAACAGCTGTGCCTCCACTCATGACCGTCCAGACATCTAGCTCCCTCCAATATGATGGCGGGACGCAAATCAAGATTGACATTGCGGGCATAGTCGATAAGAGCGTTTCGATGCACATATTGGTTTTCGTCTGCGAGCTTAACTATAGTATTGGGGAATTGGAGTGGATATGATGCCATAGGCTGTGTCAGTGATTGTCTTACACGCACGTGTGATGGCCGCTAAATGGTTAAGAAAAATTGCGACACCATGCTGTGCTATGCGAAATATGTAGCGGGAGTGAAACCACATAAAGGCACGCATTGCATGGAGAGCAACACACCTTCTACCAAACGAACAAGTCTAAAAAAAAAATCTCCGCCTAGCTACGAAACCGTAGCAGCAATGTTTCGCCAGATGCCCATGTGCGTGGTTCTTCTATGCATATGCGCTACCTCAATCTCTCGTATTCGTTGATGTATTCGGCACAATCCAGCATGAGTAAATCGAGGAAATACGTATAAGCAACGCGTAACGATTCAATCGAGTATGCCGCAGTTGAAATCGCATGTATTTTCTCTCCCGGCGGCTACTAGCTTTTACTGCCAATACGCCAGTTTGCTATTGCCGTATGACCTTATTCTGTGTTTCCAACGTACCTACCGTCCTGCCGTCGGCCTTGGTTTTTTTTTTTTTTTTTTTTTTTTTTTTTTTTTTTTTTTTTTTTTTTTTTTTTTGCTTTTTTGGGGGTTGCTTTGCAGGAGCTGATGTACCTAGTAGTGGCTCGACAATCTACCACATATAGTGCTCATTGCAATCCAGTCGGTATCCTGTTATTAGCCAAGTTAGTCTACTGAATCATGATACGACAAACCATCTCAATTTATTTCGGTAACACTCTTTTAGTAGAAGATGACGGTCATCCCTGAGCTCCGTCTCCCCTCTCCTGACAGGATCAGCAATGCTACGACAAACCGCCTCAAATTATTTCGAGCAAGGCTACAAGAGCATGCCGGTATTTTTGGTTTCTCTGGAGGGTGGATGCCTGTAATCGACTTACCCGTATATGTACTCGTACTAGCTGCATCGTCCCCTGCCCGAGGGCCTTCGTTCCCAGTCACGAGCCCCCAGCCGCAGAGATGGGGTCTTCTTACTTTGACGGCTGGTCTGGCCTTTCCCTGAAGAGGTTTTGTCCTTGACGGACGCATGTCTTTGGCCATTCAGGTCCTGCCCCAGACCACCATGGCTCCCCAATCCTAGCCACTTGTTTTCCTCCCAACAGCTTGGTTGTGATCGCCCGGGCGTTGGTGCAATCGAAAACCAAGGTCAAGTGGGGCTCAGGAATCGAGTGTACAGGGACTTTGTCGAGGCCGTGGAGTTTTTTTTTGACGGTGCTGTATCGCTAGGCAGAGTTCCAGCATGGGACATTGCATTCGCTAAACAGCTCTGAGCCGCCTTCAAAAAGTTCAAATACTGTGTTTGTAGCACCCTGTGAGTCTGCACGGGAAGCCCTCAAACGGGCACAGTAGCCCGAATTTATTTGACTGGACGGTATGGTGAACATCGAGCCTAAAATCCGTGTGACGTGCTGGGCCACGACGAGATCTTCCACTAAGGCCGTTTAGGTGAAGAGGTTCCGGTGGTAGTTTGAGACACCTCTCAGAAAGCCTAAAACCAACTCGACCAGGCTGGCGTCGGATATCGGATTGAACAAAGGAACTACTGGGGTGTGCCCAGGGTAGAGTGTAAGCATGAGCCCGTTGATAGCGGCAGACGCCAGGACTGGAGCGAGCCGTTGACAGTCAGCTGTAGGGCAAAGCCGACTTACTCGCCACTACCACATAGGTACACGTCCACTATTATCATTACCGCACTACCTAGGTAGCTACCTGTATCTATGTGTAGGTAAGGTAGATAATCTATTCATACTACAGCACCTGCAAGGGTGCTTTTTTATCAAAACAAGCAAACATTGAAACAAGTCCAGAATCTCACTATTTACGAGTACCAGTGTAGAACATCCACCCTAGTCCATAAACGGTACGAGTATACCATCCATCAGTTGCTGTTCCCTGGTCTTGGGTGACCAGGGAGGGGTGCCGCTATCCCAGAGGGGAGGCGTGGGGCGATGCGTCAAGTTGTGATTTTCGGACTGGAGCTTTTGTCCATCGCCAGGAACACGTCAAACGTCACCGCATCAATTTTGTTCCAAATTATTCCCCCGGCTGTCTCCCACTTCCTGGTTCAGCTCATGTCTACTTATGTGAATATTAGAAGGACCTTGGGCTCCCCCCATACATAAAAACCTGCTGACTCCCGCTTCTCTCTTGATTCATCAGTAGGACAATCGTCATCACCATCTCTTCTCCCAAAGACATTGAGAGTGTTCAAGTTCCCATTGTCTCAACCTCCCTACACAATCCACAGCTACTCCCTCTCAAATTCTCGCTTGTTAACATGTCTAACTTATCAACTCGTGCGGTTAACGGGAGTAACGGGGGTAATGTGTAAGTATCGCCTTGGAGACTACCTCTCATAGTCCCAGTATTCTATTCTGTCCGATTTCATTTTCTATCCCGCGACGTTTATTTCTCGCGTGGCTGTTGCTAGTGGAATTCCCCCTCCCATCACCTTATATCATTTCTATTCAAGGTCGCTGGACTGAAATGTAGCTTTCCACCGCTTCTTAAGATGAATGCTTTCATAAGGTCTAAAATACATTTGAGTCGTTCAAGTACTGGATGTTTACATTCAACTCTTAAACCCTCAAAGCTGACACATCTCTTTCTCTCCAGTACCAATAGTGAAAACGGAGCCATCACTGGCAATACCGTCGATGGCCGAGACACCTCCTCGTACAGCCTCGACCGTTTCCTCTCCGACATAGACCGAAACAAGCCGCCCGGGTACGAGCAAGCGCAGAGCCCTGCCGAATCTATAAGGCGTGTGGAAGAAATGCTGCGCAACTTTGACGCCAATTTTTCTTCCACCAGTGATCCTCGCTAGCCCATTGATCGTCCTCAACGCAGTAGCTCTGGCTAGAAGCTGATAGATTGGGCCACCGCATGCGAGTATGTTTACATATAATATGCCTTAGAATTATATTTATGGGTGTATGAACTTGCATAGTGTCTTGAACATGGATATGGGCCTGCATATAGGTATGGGTGTAGATACCGGCGCAGGTACAGGTACAGGTATTGGTATGGATCAAAGTATTGCATATACTTATATAGGGTATTCAGTGGTTCTGATTCGGTTATTCTTTCTGACATCAGAATCTTCGTGCGCACAATTTGCTCGAAACATCTACTGGCTAACAGACAGGCCAAGATTGTTTCTACAAACATGTGTTATGCTGTCAAGCCTCGTGCACTTCGCATGTTGATTGAAGATCGCCCAAAAGGGAACCTTTAATCTCTTTTGATCACCTTCTAGATCGCGGACTAGAATGAATCTGCCATACTGAGGTAGGCAAGAGTCGCTTGCGCAGGGCTTGTTTATACGTGCGCAGGTAGTTGAGCGGATGCGCACTACCTCCAGGAAAGTAATAAAAGCACGGTACTGAGGCAGGCATGCTACAGAATGATGGTGGGGGAAGGGTTTGTTAGATTCATTGCAGGAATAACAGGATACATAGGGAGAGAGGCACGTGCGTAAGAGACTCCGACACCCCGGGCGATTTTCCTAAGGTTTGCGGCAAAGATGAGACTCCCGCGCTGGACAAGAATCTGACAAAGTGAACACCTCCAGCTCCTATGGGTCTATCGGATTGCGGGCCACCGGTTGGCGGACAATACGGGCATGGGACCTAAACATCGGGGGGCGGCAGCTTGTCGGGCGGCAGACGCTACCGATTGGTGTAGATACGTCGAAGTCTACGGAGCACCGATCCGTCAAAGGTCCGTGATAACGGAGATGAAGACGGAGCCTCGGTGGGATCAACCCCAAGTCAGTGGATACTGAGTTCGAGTGGAGGTTTTCTTGATTGGCCTTTGTACGTGGTACGCTGCTTGCACTCTAGGACACGGACCAGGAGGTAGAGATACTGCGTAATGCAGCAAATCAAATACAAGGAATGAGATTGGGTAAGCATAAACTCGCGTTGGAGTATGGAGACAGCCGTATGCACGTAGCCCGTGTACATATGCCATGGAACGCCTGATCTGTTGAAGATCGGATTATCATTGGTGCTGTTACGGTGCTTCTGCATCCGCTTCTCGTTTTGGCAACGCGAAGTATACGGATAGGTATATTTGCTCAAAGACGCAAACCTGCCAGCCACAGTCGATGAAACGGATCCAGC